TTCTCTCCTCCGTGCCTGATCTGAGAGCAGGAAACCCACTGCCTGCCTTAGTGCCCTCCAGCAACAAGAGCTCAAAAGCATCTCTCTCATTATTAGGACCAGTCAAAGATCTCCCAGCAAAACAGATGCTCCCCTCCCTGCTGAATGGCAAAATGATGGGGTTTGAGTGCTTTGCAGGAACATATCGAGCCCAGCACAGCTCTCAAAAAAGCAGGGGGTTCTGCCTGCACCTCCAGCACTTCAGGCTGGCAGGACTGGATGTCAACAAGACGCTGTTATTTTCACATTGCCCCCCCCCAACCCCACTCAGCGCCATCCTGACAGCTTCTGCTGCCCTTTTCCACAGGCAAATTTCATATTTCAAGTCCTCGAGGCCTTTCTATTCCACGCGAGAACGCCCTCTTCCCTTTTACTGCTGGAAATTGAAATGGAAGTGGCAATAAATCGCAGCGCAGCACGGCAGCCAGCCCGCACGCAGAACCATCCGCGGCAAAAGGCACCCCAAAGCGCTAAGTCCAGTCAGTCGGAATAACCAGCTCAGCACGACCGTGCCACCCAGCAAGATAACGATCCCACCGCCCTCGGGAGAGCAGCAAGGACAACAAAAACACAACAGTAGCCCAGGAAGGTCACAAACTCCACACGCATCGCCCTGCCAAAGACAGCCCAAGGGCTCTCTGGATGTTATTGCAGCCTGGGGTTCCCGCTGCGCTCTCCATCCCCTGCAAACGCTGCAGATGTTGGCAGCTCCAGCCTGGGAGCAAGGGGCTTTCACAACATCCCATGCTCCCCTCAGGGCACTTGTCAGGGAAGGAGTTGTGATTTCGGGACAGGACTCCAGTCCCTGCATCCAGCACCGCTGCGGGAACCAGAGGATGTCCCACATCCTGGGATCAAATCCGCTCCCTCTGCTTCGTGCAGCCCCCGTCATCGCTCAGTGTTTTCAGTTTCCCTTGCTGGACACAGAAGCAGCAATTCCTTACCTGGTGGTTTTCCCCTCTTTGAGCTCTTCTGACCCATCCACAGATTTGGATCAGGGATTTTCCTCTGGTGTTGGTTCCCAGGGTCCCTCGTTTGTCTCCATCTACACAGTAAAGCCCTGTAAGAAAGGGCATAGACAGAGCCACCTCAAATCCCGCTGCCAACACCGCTGCAGCCACTGCCAAAGCACAGCGGTGTCTCCAGCAGCCTCCACATCTCACCCACGGGTGTTCCTTCAAGGCAACTCCTCACCAGTCACACCAGTACCTCGATGTCTGTGGGTGCTCAATCTCCCAGTACCAACCACAGTCCTGAAACCAGGACCTGCTCGGGGGGGCAGAGAGAAGTGCAAAGGCTCAGGGAGGGGAGATCCTGTCCTGGGTGGTGCCATTGCACCAACAACTTTGTCTGACAGCCTGTAACTCTGCGAGATAAATAACATAAATAAAAGAAAACTAGGTTAACACAGGACTATCAAGGTCTACATAACCCACAGCCAGCCTAAAATGAAAGGTGTTCCAGATACACCTGTAAGAAATATTATCATCGTGTCCCTTTGGGACTTCATCAGACATAAATCTACATTCTTCATCTTCATAGAAAAGCCCAGAGATTACCCAAAACCCCCAGCTTTACACCTGTAATTCAGCCCCCAGCCCAATACAGCCAAGCACCTACCCCAGGCTGGTAACCACCACATTTGGCTTCAAACAACACCGAGCTGCAAGCACCCGAGCCCAGGACCTCTGTTAGGGAACGGTGACACCACACCAAGCTAGAGACAGCAGATTTTATAATAACCTCACCATTTTACTTCAAATCTGATCGCCAAGGAGCTCTTCATCCCCTCCTCCAAGAAACACGCACTTAAAACGCTCTCTGGAATTGATCTGCAAGCGTCAAGACGGAGTTAAATGATTCATGACTTTTTAGCTGGAAGAACATCCACTACGACAGGAGTGCACACCACGATTCCTGCGCTTTCCTTCCCCATGCAGAGTCGCTCCACTCCGCTTATCATTCTTAATTGCTCTAAAAGTAGCATCCTAAGTGATATAAATACTCACACGATTAATGTTATCTCCAGTTGAAGTATCAGTAGTTGAAGCTGCTTAGATGTCAGTGAAAAAACTTAACAAGTAACTCGTATCATATAGGAATATCTCCGCTGCAATTAAGTGCATTACTTTATGTACTAAGTAGCTTTTGGTTAGCAGGATATTGCACTTTTGTGCAACAAAAAAACAGTCAGAACGTTTGAAAAGCAAAGCAAGCAAGAGTTTGGTGTTAAAAAATAAGACACGAAGCCATCCTCATCGAAAGAGCAGCTGGAACTTCACAGCAACGCTGCCAGTCTCACGGTCCAAGCGCTTTGTTATCTCTGTGCCAAAATTTGCCCTAGTGCACTAGTGGGAAAAATCTGATAAAATATGAGAAACACGACACCCATTTGCAAGTACCGCACTTCTCTGATGGCAGCAAAGCAAAGCTGATTGCGTCGTTATCTGGGAAGCCCAGAAAACAGCACCTCACAAGTACTGAAATGGATTACAGAGATCGACGCAGCGGTGCTCAGCTACTGAGGAAGGGGAACAGCCTGGGATCCAGGGCTCCCAATCGCACCCATTGTTACCCCAAACAACGGCCCCGTTCAGCCGTGCTGGGCACGATGCTGGTGTGGTGCTGCCTCCTGGCCAGGGCACAGTTGAGGCTTTTGCAATGTTCCGCCAGCTCTTGAGAAAGTGCAGAGCTGCTGTTTGGTTTGGGCGCTTGTTTTGTTTGTGTAAAGGTGAGCTTACACGTTTTTCAATGGATCGTTTGAGCGGTTCCATTTGAGCCTGCAGCGCTGCTCCCTCTCCTCGGCCTTTCCCAGCAGTTCCAGGTCAAAGCCAAGCCACGCAGTGGTGATCGGTAACACAGGGGGCAGGGACAAATCATCCAAAGGCCTTTGCAAATCAGATTAAAGAAGAACATTTAACATTAATGAGCGGCAATAAATTCATCAGGAGCCAGAGGGAAGAGACATTTTACTGCAAGAACTTTATTGCGCTACGTTCGAG